GCGGATGAAAACGAGAGTGCTGCCTGCACAGATTGGCTCTGCATACGGTGTTGATCAAATGCTAATTAACATTGCTGACAACTCACGACCTCTATAACTACGCTGCGGCAAGTGCTTTGGGTAGATAAGTTCTCTCACCCCAATACAGCATGTCCACGGATATGTAAAGACCACCGAATACATGTTTTTTTCCACGAACCGGCACGATACCACCACATCGAAAAAACCTTCAAAAACATTTTTCAAATCAGTCACAGTCGCGAAATGAAAATGTGCGAGGGAGGGCTACGGAAGGGAGGGGGAGGAGAATTAGACACTGATCAACCGGGGACGCTGTATCAATCACCCCTTTGTGTAAGTCTTCCCACTTATGTAGGTGACACAAAACGCTAGCTCTCACGCCCGTGATGCACCTAACCTGCAACAGCCCAGTCAGATGAGGTCGGGTAGGTTAGCAGTGCGTGCTGACGCATATCGTGCATACCATATCACGCATTAGAGTTCGATTTGCAGAAATCGGGCTGTACTGCGGGGTTGACTCTGATAACACTCATAGCTCGCTTCAAATAATGCTTCATAGCCAGAAGCAGCATCTAGAAATAGTTATCGGCTAATTCCGAATGTATATTTCCATCAAAATCTTTAAACTAGGTGCATTCCCTTGTTAGTCTGGGAAATTGATAATATACTGCCCCAGGACTTTCCTTCCGACAGCACAGGTTATTTGCGCCCACAGCTCCATTTTTTTATGACACACTCCTCATGGAAAATTTTTTTGAAACCTCTCCAATCTCCAAAGGCTGCTTGTTCTCCATATACTTTCTCACTCAAGCTGTTTAATAGCGAAGCATCTGGAAGTCTAATTCCTTACCATGCTTTGTTTTGTAATGATTTGTTAGGTTGATGCAAAAATAATGAGCGTTTTTCAATTTTTCATTTTAACTTGCTATAACTTTCTACAAAATCTACATTTTGAAATGTGATAAAGCCCATCGGATGCAGCGAACCTTTCGCAGTACAGCGCACATTGACCTATACTCATATCTCATATGGGCAGAAAAATATGGATTGAAAAACAAAAAAAAATTTTCTGAAGTCTTGTTTTTGACAAAACATAACTCCTTTCATACTTTGTTGTTACCATTTATAAGCAGTCTATCTTGTAGCCACAAGCCAGTAGTACAAATATACATGGAAACGGCTTAGAGAAAAAAGATTAGCGAAAAGGGAAAAATCGAAATTCAAAAATATCAACTTTTTTAGCATTTTTTCAGTAAACCTCAAAACCCCGAAGTATAGAATTTTCTGATTTTCTGCGTACTGAACACCTGGATGTTTTTGCAAAAACTGCTAATAGGACTCCTACCCTTACGCTTACAGAGATGAGCAAAGTTTGAGCGACTGCTTTCTACAAAAGAAAGTTATGGGCTCTAAAATGACCATAACCATTACCCATTTGAGCCGCCGATATCTCACTTCAGATAACTTCAAAAAATATAGTTGATTATGAATAATGTAGACAATTTTCATCACATACAGCGGCTAAATTTTCGATAAACCACCTTTATTCGCGCTCAAATTCTGGCCAGAAAGATGAATGCAACAAAAATCTAGTTTTGAGTGCGATTGTTTGAAGCTCTATAAATTCTTAACAAAGTGGGCTAAAGTTCGAAGTTCCATTACGAACGCCACTAGATAGAGCATGAAAAGAGTTTTCTAACAATATGCGGAAACCGTTACAAAGAAAGAAGTTTGATTGAGAAAAGTTGTTCTGTAAAAAGACCTAGGAAAACGCTCATTATTTTTGCATCAACCTAATATATGTGAAGGAACTCACAAGGGAAGTCACTTAACTTAGGTGGGCCTTTTGAAATGAGACACATATGTTTAGAATCAGCTTGAAACGCTGATTTCAAATCTGCTTTCCTTAGCTGCGAAGCGTTCCCCTGAAGCGAGTTATGAGCTTTTTCCTGAGCAAATTTTGCGTGTTGACCGACTTAGGCATGCTACGGAATCATCATCTAGGTAGTGGGTTAAATGCATATTATACCCTATCAAAGCCAAATGACTCAATTTGATGTTATTTTGATTTTCCACCACTTTTTGAGCAGATTTTCATCTAAAGACCTTCTTTCCATATTCAGTTGTATGTCAATGACACATACTAAAAAAGCTCATAACTCGCTTCAAAGGAACGATTCGCAGCTAAGAATAGCATATTTGGAATCAGCGTCCCGAGCTGAATCTAAATATATGTGTCTCATTTTAAAAGCCCGACCTAAGTTAAGTGACTTCCCTTGTCAGATTATGTTTGCATTTTTCGTCTAACACTTTTTCTCAATTTCTAGCCACCACAAATGCAGCAAGGGCGTACATATACGATTGTATTTATCAGGACTCAAGATGCCACCAGCTAAGTTTTTGCGTTCAATCAAAATTTCTCTTCCCAGCTCTCCCTGAGCTGGGAAGAGAAATTTCGATTAAACGCAAAAATGTAGATTGCTATCTTTATGTAATTTTGATATTTGCTTTATTAGAAGCGAAACATGAGAAAAGGATAAAGCGAATCGACTCTTCTCCGGACTCATTACATTACTGGTGAAAACAGATGGTGTCCTTTCTTTTGGATGACTTACAATCACATGGTAACAGGCTGCTGCATAAGTCTGTGCGATTTGAGTTTTTGGATGCAAAATGTCATAAGTTCTTTCAACGTTAACGTCTTTCATGAACTTGATTTTTATGTAAATAGTTTTTTGGCTATCATATAAATATTAAGACTTGCAAACCCTGTTAGGGAAGAAGCAAAATCTTCGCTGCGTTCTTCTTCAAACCTGTCTTTTTTAACACCAGTGCGTCACCTCCGCTTCGCGGAGGTTCGCACTGGCTCTGCTATCCGTATGCCTTATTCATGTTTCCAAAATGATGAGTTTGAAACTCACCGCGCGAGCCTGTCCATCATAAATGAATTGTAACAACTGTTCATTCATGAAGCATCTCCATGTAAGATCGGTAATTTTGAAAAATAAAACTTTTTTGCCAAGGAATAAATACGGATTCGAATAGATTATCAAATTTATTTTGGCTTGATAATTGTTATAGAGATAGTGGTCATTTTGGGCTACATTTCCGTGCAAAAATCTTTCCAGATTTTTAAACCTTGCCAAATCAACTCTCAACGCGATCAGTACTTTTTAGCGCTGTTTTCGCAGAAAAGCAAACTTTTTGAGCTAGAATTCTTGAAGCGTAGATTTGCTTGTCAGGCAAATCAGGAGTTTGCAAAAAGTTGAATTTGTGACCTAGTTTTGCGCGCCAAAAGCCAGGTGGACCCGTTCGAGGCGCCAATTTTGAAAAACCGTTTATTGAACCGGCTCGTCCTTGAGTATGGTGGACCTACATGCTGGTGCGGTATGCTATGCAAAATTGCAGCTCGCTAGCTTGGCTGCAGCTCGCTCTATGAATTTCGTGACAGACAGACAAACACACACACACACACACACACACACACACACACACACACACACACACACACACACACACACACACACACACACACACACACACACACACACACACACACACACACACACACACACACACACACACACACACACACACACACACACACACACACACACACACACACACACACACACACACACACACACACACACACACACACACACACACACACACACACACACACACACACACACACACACACACACACACACACACACACACACACACACACACACACACACACACACACACACACACACACACACACACACACACACACACACACACACACACACACACACACACACACACACACACACACACACACACACACACACACACACACACACACACACACACACACACACACACACACACACACACACACACACACACACACACACACACACACACACACACACACACACACACACACACACACACACACACACACACACACACACACACACACACACAAAGAGACAGACGTTAAGCGCTTTATTATAAGTCATGATGGCAGTGTTTCTTCTTGAAAATTGATAGTATTGCTTAACACATTCACGACACGGCCGTTTTATCGACTTCTGCCGTTTCTCACATACGACCCACTGGTATCAACTTTCTCGTGTCCTTTTTTCGACTGCCGATGGGTCATATGCTCCGAATGGTGGTCTTTTAATTAGGCTTACTCTAGATGCCTCCAAACATGTGCGGACATCTCATGTACTTCCATCGTATATCTGCAGTGCTTAGTAGCACAAACCCAGAGGTGGGTCATATGTCCGAAATGGCGGTACACGTACGACCCACCGGTGGGTCGTATCGTCGTGAATGTGTTAAAAATGAACAAAAAAGAAAACGCTTTTTGACCTTGCTTCAGCACATGTGTGCATGCCTACTTACGAATTATGAAAATTTTGCACTCGCAAATGGTGACAAGGAATTGATGGATGGATCCTGGTAGCTCTTGCTTTACTCCACCACTTCCAACTTTGGACTCGTACATTGCCTCTATTCGCATAAAAATTATTGCATGCAGAACATTTATACAAAAAGTTAATGTTCGACATTGAATTTTTCAAGCAAGACGTTTTCCTCATGAGATTGAGCTTTGCATATAATACTAGCCTATTATCTCCTTATTCCATAAATCCGCTTAGGGATCTAAGACCTGCAAACTCATTAAATGAAGAGTTGATTGAAATTGATGTATGTTAGAAACAGCGAGAAAAGCCCTTCTCAATGATACAAACAGTATCGGAGTAAAGGTGAAATTCGTTTAGAACAGCTGCTTCAAACATAAAACAAAAAATCGGACAAAACCTATGCGGCAGAATTGTATAAGGTGATGCATGACCTGGCCATACTAAAACTCTGGCAAATGATATTTAGCATCTTTTGGTAAAACAATAACACTATCAACATGAAATCATTCATATAAAAGGAGCTGGAAGTAGTGTGGTACATTCTCTAGTTTACTCACAACCGACGTCGATGAGTGCCAAGGGACTACCTCCGCCGTCTGCATCTGAAGGACAATCGTCAGCCGCTGGAGACGGCCCGATTGGAGGAATAAAGCAGGCTCATGTATGGAACGCCATTCCTCGTTGAAATTCGTTCACTCGTACTGTTCCAGGCCGACATGGTTGCTTGGCTTTACAAGCCACATGGTGGCGCAGTGGATGATCAGCTGAAAAAGATTGATGCAGCTAATGTGAAACGAGAACATGTGGGAACTAAATTTTTCGACGTTAGCTATGAGGCTCTAGAATCCACTAATTACAGATTGCCTATGGAGTCATAGGATTGGTGAGCTTGTATCTACTTTTTGGAGAAGAAGCGATGTTTCCCTGCATCATCCGCTGTTGTCGTAAGTTTCTACTTGTTTTGGAAAACAGAGAAATTTTCAATGCATGCGAGGAGAGGTCAAAAACAAAGAGATCTCTACAGCTTTTTGAAAAGGCATGTTGTGCGGGGATTGGAGAGATCGAAGGAGGGAGCTTTCGCGCAACAGTATGCTAATTCTACCTTCCGCGGCTTTCGCGGCGGGACCTTCGATATTTGCTGCTTTGCTTTCGCTCGTACAGAAAAGCCTGCACCCGAGAAGTTGGGTGAGGGAAGTCGCAGCTATTTGCAGGTTCCCCAGCAGCGACAACCACTTGATACACATCGGGGGAAAATAATGAAAACTGCAAAAAGAACATTCTCCACTTCAACATTCTCCACTTTTGGCATTGGTCGTTCTCGAGTAAATGAAGTAAGGGCAGAGAGTGTGTATTCATCGCACGCAGAAGCAGGGTGAAGCTGCGAACGCAGTCAGCATCTCTAGTAACAAGAGCACTCTCAGTTGTCTAATCGTCTGCGGATTGTTCCAAATGCGTACTGTCTTAGTCAGACGTAACTGCGACCAGTCTCTGCTGCGCTGACTGGACTATAATCGATAAAAAACATGTTCCAGATCATTCGTGGAAAGAAAGGAACAGAAGCTGTAAATCAGTTATTGTACTGGGTTCCATTTGGCTTCTTTGCGCTGCTTGACTCCACATCGTTCAGCTTGATTCCTGCTTATTATCTCTTGAGGGTAAGCTTTCTTTTCAGAGGAGCAAATAAAGCAAAAACGATTTGCAGACTGCGTTCTTGATTTTCCTATTCCTTCCCCAGACTCAAGGAGCTCAACTGATCTACAACAAAGTAATTGAACCAATAGCAAAGACAGTGGAAGGATTTGGAGGAAAGAAGGCCTAATCATAGATCAACTAATATTGTAATAGATCCAAATGAACATGGTCATGGCAGTAAAGGCTTGAGTGGTTCTCTAGCACAATGCACATGCCATAAAAATTCCAAAAATAAGAGATTCTTGAAATGTTCCCAGTTACTAATTGATTGAATTTATGATTTACTAGTTGGCAAACCCGGCTTCGCCCGGCCCTGTCAATAACATATTTGTAATCAGCATGCTCGATTACCCCCCTGTGCCAACTCTCACCTCCGTAGCTCAAATTTTGCAAAAAATTGATTAAATCGATATCGATCGATAACGAAGAGTAGCCTATGACACCCGCCGGGGTCCGAAGTGTATGTGTGCCAAGTTTGGTCCGGATCGGTTCAGAAATGGAATTTTCTATTCGGAACATACGTACAGACAGACATACAGACATACAGACAGACAGACAAACAGACATTCAGCTTTATATATAAGATACCTCAGTTATGTCGAAAACTACACTGCTCTTTGAACGTCTCGTTTGCCACTGGGCAAGGAAGTATCGACTGTAGCTCGTGCAAATTTCGGACCTGAAAACGATTGTGGCAATTTTGCTTAGGTTTTGATTTATTCACTTGCTTTGTCAATTTTCGCTCATAACTGCGTCAGACATTTAGAAACAACCTATAACAATTCGCGGCTAAAATTGCATTAACTTCAACTTTTAGGCCCCGGCCAAACATCGCTCAAAAGCGCGCAAAAGCGCCCATAATTCTCTGATGCCTCTTCACTTTGTCGTTTGAGGTGAGATGAGAGGAAGTGAGGAGGTTAGAGGAATTTGAGCGCTTGGGCGTTCTTGGGCGTTTTTGAGCGTTTTTGAGCGAAGTTTGACCAGAGTCTTAGATATTATTATAAAATTGGCCAAAGATGGAAGTCATTTGTAAGTTACAAGTGATTCAAACGTCTTGAGTCATCTCTGCTGTACTCCTCTCCACACAAATCATGCCCTTGAAGGCACCGTCCACCGAGATTCTCGCTTATGTTTTTGTCATCCGGGGCCTTCTCATGTCCCTGATTCCGAAAATCAAGTCGAGAATCCGCAAAACCCCGACAAACCCCGTTTCGGAGAACCCGCAGGGCGAGTTGTGCAGAACGGTGATTGGTTAGGTGCGCTCAAACGGGCGGAGCGAACGTCCCCACTGAAAGGGCAGAAGTCAAAGTGGCGAATCCGTCATCCATAGCGATTTTTGAAGCAATTTTCTCGTTTGGGAAGCAGCTTCTGACAGCGCGAGTTGGGCAATTATAAGATTGGGGACCACACTACTGTTAGGCATCAAAATCTCATCGATCACATTTTGGGTGGACGGTGCCTTCAATGCTAGACTAAAGGTGCCAAAATGCTATCTCGCTTTCCTTAAAATGTCCCCTTTGGTCGTTAATACTCTTTTTTCATAACGAGTTGGCTTCAACTTACTGTTAGTTAGTTCTAATCTTAATTAAATTACCGCTCTTTCTTCATTGCTGTAAGATTACGGTGGAAGCTCTGGAAAGCATTTTGCACCTTGTAGATAGATCTTGCTTCAAATAAGCTTTCAAAAAGCTAAAAGTTTTGTTCGATTCTAGATGCCAGGACAGTCGCAGGATTTCTGCGAGAGGGGGGGGGGGGAGGGGAAGGCGACAACAAATTTTCCGAGTGAGGACGTGGCTAGCCGCCGTTCCAAGAAAATTTTGGGGTGCTTTTCAAAAATTCTTGCGAGCCCATAACCCGAATTTTATGAAAGAGGCGTGGGCTAAAATGGGTTTTCAAAATTCTTAAAGTTACATCATTTACAATCATGAACAAAAACACCTTTTCAAGCTCATGTAAGTAACCTTCGAGAATTTCGCAACCCTCCCCCCATTGGTCCGCTACTGCTGATGCATGCATTATACATCATAATTCCGCTCGTATTTTTTGGAAAAACGACGCAAAGTTGCGCGATTCATGTGAGATTACCGTAGCGTGACCATATCTCGCTTCAGAGTGGACAAATTCTTGACACAAGAGCATCATTCGACTCAGCTCGTCGCGGCGCATCTTCTGATGTACAGATGCTTGTTTGGACACAGTCGAGGCCAGATTTCACGACTCGTTTCAGATTTTTGCTTACGGTAGATTACTCAGTGTGCTTGTTCAATGCACTCCCTGGGCACGATTCATGGAACATGGCCTCCTGCCGTGTCTAAACTCGCAATTTTACATATCAGAAGATGAGCCGCGCCGAGCTGAATGGTAACTTTGGATTGAGAATTTGTCCACTCTGAAGCAAGATATGGCCACGCTGTGATGATGTCACATGAGTCGGGCAACTTTGTGCCGTTTTTTTCTTCAAAATACGAGCGGTATTGTACTGCTGACATTGTTGAAAAGTTAGCCAAGTATATCCGAAAAGATAATACGTCAGAAACTTGATTTGTAAGTCGTTTTGCGAATGACAAAGCTGTTTTCTGAAATTTGCGCCTCCATAAACTCCACCAAAAAGGTTTCAATTTTGCAAATTTTCTAGAGTGTCTTTGAGTTTGCAAGCATGCCATGATGCAAGAAATCTAGCATATTTCTACAATAACAAAGAGAACTGGCACTTTTCCCAATACTCTAGATCTAAGCTGGAAGCAAGTTTTACAGAGTTAGTACATAAAGATCGGCGAAAGACAAAGGGGCAAGAGAGTTATTTTAGACCAAACAGAAGAGAAAGGATAACCTTTGATTCAAATGGCTTGGCGGCTGGAAGGCGGGCTGTGACCTAATAAAGGCCACTCGCGCTCGTTACGCAGTCTGCGTCTCTCTCGCGCGCGTGCTCTCTTATCATTATTAAGCCTTAATTAGGTCACGAAGCCCCGCCTTCCAGCCGATAAGCAGCCGGCTGAATCAAATGGTACCCTGCACAGTAGAGCGACTCATTTGAAGCGCTCAAATATCAGGTTGTTACCTTAGCTTTGTTATACTTTCTTCGTCTGCCTCTGGAAAACTCCAGAAAATTCGGCAAGGCCTCATATTTGGCATATACGGGAAGAAGTAAAGGGGTATCTGCTGGCAACCGTTATGCTCCCACTACGTGACTTGCAGTGAATATAAAGGAGGCGATTCTATAAGAGCATTCCAACCTTCATTCTTACAAGGGGGTCAGAAGTCGAAGTGGCCAATCCATACAAGCTGCATATCATTCGATGCAGCATAAAATGCTGATTTCAAATTTATCTTCCATATCTGCAGAGCGCCTTTGTAGGCGAAGTTATGAGCAGCTTTATTGCGAAAAAATCGTACACAAAAATTGAGAAATTAGGCACATTATTGCTCGTTCAGCTCAACTCTAGGTGCTGGTCATATGAAGTCACCTAAGTGCGTGTTTTGGTCCAAACTGAGCCGAGAATGGCTTTGTACGGCCAAGTTTGCACTTTACACGCACAATTTCTTAGCAAAATAATGACCTTCAACGGCTTATAATTTCGTCCACAAAAGCGCTCTGCAGATAGGGAAGACAGATTTAGAGTCAGCGTTTTATGCTGCATCTAATGATATGCAGCTTGTATGGATTGGTCACTTCGACTTCTGACTATGCCCTTCTTAGTTAAAATTTTCCTGTTCTTCTTTCAGCTTTTTATTTTTTGTGAGCTTCTGGGAGCAATGGTAGTAATACTGAGGCAGCTCGAAAATGTGTGAAAAGTGTCGGAAATTACCCAAATTTTGAGAATTCATGCAAATTCCGCACTTTTGAAAAATGTGCGGAGCTTGCCACCTAGGGGGCAGAGTGCCTGATGGTGGGCGGGGCCTGGCTAAAAGCTGCTTGTGGTCTTGCGTTCATCCACGGCCTCATCCATGCTTTTTATGAACAAAAAAGGTCCTCGTGAGGGGCACAGAAGTGGGCGGAGTTTGCTCGAAGGGGCGGAGCTGATACATGAAGCACATCTGAGCCTATGTTGATTATATGAACAAAAACTGTGAGGATTGGACAGATATCAATGAAATTAAGGCCGCCGCGCACCATTGCGCGGCACTTGTCAACTGTTAAACTCTTCAATAACTAGAGTTGGAAATTTGCCAAAGATAATTCGAAAAATTTTTAAAAATTCGAAAATGTAATTTTTATGTGCGACATGTGTGAATGAAAAATCTGCAACACTAAACATAGTATGAAAATAAAAATCACTTGACAAAGCTATGAGGATTTTTCCGGTCGAGTGTAACAAAACTTATGTAACAACCTAATATCTTCTTACCTGAACGATTCTTCCTTGTAAAAGTCGTCTTTCTCTCGTCGTTGCCATTGATGGAATGATCGGTAAGCGAATAGCATGAGACCTTAGAGAACAGCCTTAGAGATTGGTTCTACCTTTTTGCGGCGAATACTTACAGATGAGGACAGTCTTTTTGGCATAGGCATCGCATACGATTCAGTTGTACAAAAATATCCTCGTCGTTGACCTTAATGCATTTATTTCCTGCTGTAGAAGAGCATTTTCAAAAAAAGTGAGCAGCGTACCTCATAAACTATGACAGGCATTCTCTTATGATAAGCAGTGATGTAGCAGTGCATGATGTAAAGAATTAGGGGAAAATTGATGTTGGGAAAGAGTAAAGGGAAACCAAATAGGTATTGCGGGCAATATAAGCCAGTAGATACATCCAAGAAAATGATCTAAAGATTTGATTTTTTGTTGAATGTTTTTAAAATCAACTGTAAAAATGGTTCATAATCAATGCACGTTATTCTTTCCTCTTCTTTCAAGCGTCGTCTTCTAAAATTTCTTTTATGATTTCTGAGAGGCAACTTCTTCTAGTTTCTTATATTTTTTCATTTTCGCAAATCTTTGTTCATCTCTGACATAAGCGACTGAAACATGAAATTTCTGTTTCCTCACTCCTTGCTGAAAATATCTCCTTGTATTGAATTACTAGGGTGAGTCAAAAGTAATGAGAACATCGCTTCTCTTGTTAGACCTACTCTCAAATTAGGCAGAATGTATGCATGCAAGTGCTCTAAACGA